TTTATCCAAATTCCTATAAAAACCAAATTTAACCTACTTTCTAGAGGAGGAACGGCGTGAACGACTGAGAGCAATTCAAATCCTAATTTTCACCACAAGGAAGAGGCTAACACAAGATTGAAAGGCGATTATCACAAGAGATTGAAGATTCAAAGTTCGAATTGAAGAAATACAAAGAAGAAATTGAGTTTTCACTTTCCATTCATTATTTCTCATTTCGGGTGATGTTTTTCCAAATCTTCTTTTGTGATTTATATAAAATTATGCTAGGCTAATTATTTCATGTATTGGATGAAGATGAAACCCTTTATTATTTATTTTTAATTCAAAACTAATGGTTAGTTGAATTCTTGCTTTTCTTGATTAATCTTGCATGCGTAATTGCATTATTTAATTGTTTGATCACCAATTAATATATAGTTGCTTGTTGTAGTGTTGGGAGTCTCACAATAGGTCTAGAACATTGCTTAATTAACATACGTGCAATAGGTATTAGGAATTATATTTATCACGTGTGCAATTTTTGAGATAATCTAAACTTTAATGCGTTCTATTCATTCAAATTCGGACAAGGAATTGATTCGGGTCATGATTAGAATAGATTTAGTGTGTGTTTGGTAGGGATTTTTTGAAGGAAGAATTGATTTTGAATAGTGATATGATGGGAAATGTGTGGTTGAAAAAGAAGATAAGATTATTGATGTGATAGAAAATATTATTTTATTGAAAAATGTGTGGTTGAAAATGAGAATTGATTTACTGTTGAAAANGATTTTTTGGGGGAAGAATTGATTTTGAATAGTGATATGATGGGAAATGTGTGGTTGAAAAAGAAGATAAGATTATTGATGTGATAGAAAATATTATTTTATTGAAAAATGTGTGGTTGAAAATGAGAATTGATTTACTGTTAAAAATGAAAATTGGTACCAAACATAGCCTTAATTTGTTTTGGAAAAGATAATTAATTACAATAAATTTATCAATTGTCAAGAATGCATGAATGATACTAACTACATAATTGAGAATTGAAATAGATAACACTAGGTGGATTCGTAATCCAATACACTCATCCCATGGAAACACAAGACTCGAATTTTACAAGTTTTCTTAGAATAATTTAGAATAGTTAACAACCAAGATTCTATTTTGTTTGCTTACTATGAATCTGAAATAAAACTAATACTTTGATTGAAAGTTATTCCTTGTGAGACGATAACCCTTAACTCATCACTTATTTCTTGTCAACGATCTCGTACACTTGCGGATTTTCCACGAACAAGTTTTTTGCATCGTTGCCGGGGAATAGCAGTGTTAATCTTGGGTATTTGACATTTTAGATTCGCTTTAGTTTTTATTTTTTGTTATTTTTAGGCTATTATTGCACTCTTGAGTTCTCTTGTGTCTTGATTTTTTTTTAGGTGAAGTTGGTA